TTTTTTTTTTTTGAGGTGGAGTCTTGCCCTGTCGCCAGACTGGAGTGCAGGGTTCACTGCAACCTCTGCCTTCCCAAGTTCAAGCAATTCTCCTGCCTCAGCCTCCCGAGTAGCTGGGACTACAGGCACACGCCACCACGCCCAGCTAATTTGTACATTTTTAGTAGAGATAGGGTTTCGCCATGTTGGCCAGGATGGTCTCGATCTCTTGACCTCGTGATCCGCCGGCCTCAGCCTCCCAAAGTGCTGGGATTACAGGTGTGAGCCACTGCGCACGACCCTGACTCCTTCTTAGAACATAAGAAAATGGATTCTGCATCCTTTAGAAATTAAACATTCATTTTCAGTGAGGTCCCAAATGTTCCAAAGATTTTATGTGTGAATGTGTTTTATTTCATAGCCTTTCTTTGGGATAGGATAGGAAGTCACATCCTAGTTTTTATTTCCTGGTTTCTATGCCTCAATAGCTTTTTGTTTTAAGGGGATGTTTTATTTTTATTTACAGGGAAGTTAACGGAGTATATTTAAACTAGTTTTGTGGCAAGCTCTTGAGCCTTTTTCTTTTCCAACTTGACATTGTGAATTACAGAATTTGGACCTAAGTCATTGTCTTCTAGTGATGTCAGATTGTATCATAGTTATCACTGTAGTTAGTTCTGATGGCCTCTACCAGCTCAGCCAGCATACAACTATCTTTCCAGTTAAGCCGTATGAAAGTGAGACTGATGTAGGTCATCCTGTGACTTGATCTAACCTTTCCCTTGATGATGTAGTAGGGAACCCTGATTTTATGAACAAGATGAGCAATGAGAAATGCAGATCAAGGGGTCTCCTCTCATGTGCAGTCACTGTTGCTGTCTATTCTTGTTCTCCACTTAGACGGTGGCAGTATTCACACTTACGTGAAAATCATATGGTTCTTGGGTGGAGAATTTCCATTGACTGGCAGCTTTTTTCTGGGCCTGCATTCACTTTTTCAGCCTGTCTGTGGTCAGTATCATAGAGCAGCTTGTTGGATAACCCAAGCACAAGCTGAACCGGGTAATTTTAGAAAAGCTAGATCTTTTGTCACTGGGATGGTTATAACAGGGCCATCTGAAAAAGTAAAAAGTCCCTATTAGGCTGGATATCAGACCAAAGCCCATACTCTTTGCCTTTCTTACATAGAGGATTTACTACTTTTTGGTCTTGTTGGGGCTCAGAACATGACACCCCAAAATGTGGCACCTTGGCATACTGAGTATTTTAAGTTGAAGGAAATTGAGAACACTGCAGAAGCAGGAAGGTCACTCTCTGACCTTCTGCCACCTTTCTTTCCTGAAGCAGGCCATAAAATAATTATCTGACCTGCCTCTCTTGAAAGTAGGTCAGAAGACCCTTATATCAGAGGGAGTCTTCTCTATCCCCAGAGGCCAAGAAAAATCTGATCAAATCGGCCTTACTCCCCCAAGTTTATTTATTTTTGTCTTCGAGATGGAGTATTGCTCTGTCACCCAGGCTGGAGTGCAATGGCGTGATCTTGGCTTACTGCAACCTCTGCCACCTGGGTTCAAGCGATTCTCCTGCCTCAGCCTCCCAAATAACTGGGATTACAGGCGTGTACCACCACACCTGGCTAATTTTTGTATGTTTAGTAGAGACAGGGTTTTGCCATGTTGGCCAGGCTGGTCTCGAACTCCTAATCTCAGGTGATCCACCTGCCTCTGCCTCCCAAAGTCCTGGGATTACAGCTGTGAGCCACTGTGCCCAGCCAGCTCCCCTGAGTTTAATACCATTAGGTCGTACCCATTTGTCCTCTGCATGATCGTCCATAAATATACATAGTTTTCCCTGGGTTTTTGAGTCTTCATTTCTGATGGCTCTTATGTCATATAAAATTTATATTAAATAAATTTTTATAGGTTTTTCTCTTGTTAATCTGTCTTTTATGAGGGATGTCAGTCTGAATCTTGCAATGAGTGAGGAAAAGATACTATGATTTTCCCCTACAATCTTGTCTTTAAAAAAACAGGATCCATGGCCACTCTGTTTTCCTTTCGGCCTTCTTTTCTTTTGGTACTTTGGGTACCTAGACTTCCTTGCTTTTAAAATATTTTTCTATCAAATGAATTTGGTTCTTTGGTTCTAAAGGATTGGATTTTTTGGTTCTTTTCAGTCTCTTCTTAATTTA